TCTGCTTCCACACTGTTTGAAATGGGCCTAGATCCTTAGTCTAGTATTTATATTTTGTGTGGAAGAGGTTGCAAAAATGCTCCATTCCAATAGTAACAACCGTAGCTTCCGAGCCGTTTCCTTCGCATTTCATAATACCTGTCCCGCCAGCTTCTCATCACGATTCGTGTGTCGCATTGTATTGCTTATTATGGATGCCCGTTTCTAAGAAATAGCTTAGTTATTTGTTTAAGTTTATCTTCTTAAAGCTCAGAATAGGCTAATCGTAGACTTATGGTGACCATAGTCTTGAGTATCATCATCTTTAGCAAGAGCCGTTTTTAGGGTCTTATCGGAATGAATGTTCTCCACGTACAAGAAACGTAGGTGTTCGCTCTCTTCCACATCCCTCGTATATTTGACTTATTCGTTCATGTATTTTAAGAAGTTCGGGAAATCATGGAATTTTTCTCTTACTGGTGACCATTATGAAATATTCATCTAAATATTATATAATTATTGTTAGCTACTAAGGTGAACTATTGAAATTCTCCTCCAACATGTTCACCCATATATTAGTCAACAAAAGGAAAGAGTGCTAGGCCCATAGACAGCCCACATATTTGGTTCGTCCCAATATTTGCAACTTGGTCGGAGCGTCAAGGAGATCCTGGAGAACGTATCTAGTCATTTCATCTACCATAATATTCGTGATTTCAAAAATCCAAACAGTGAGTTGGTACACTCACAAACGTCCCGCCGGCATCGTCAGTGAGAGGCGTCATCGCTAGCACAGAGTTATAGCTTATCAGAGTAACAAGTGATGGAAATCCCCATGATCAATTTTCTGTTTAACCGTTGTAGCATTATTCCTCGCTCTTATTATTACTTCTGCCTTATAGTGCTGCATCTCTTTCACGCTCTCAATCAAGCTTCAATCACGCTCCATTGTCGCCTAAGCTTGTGTAGCTACAAGTGGGTTAAGGAAAACGTAATCATTTTCGCCACCGGCTTCAGGTACCGTTTGCAGTGCCTAAACATTCATTCACTCCCCCCTCCTTATTCTAGCCCGCCTATAAATTCGCCGCTTCTAAAAACACAATCACTGCCTGTAATCTAGCTGCATAAGTCCTCAATTCCCATAGCCGACTACGCTATATTCGAGGATTTAGAACAGATGATGCCCATGTCTAAGCTTATATCCATTCCTATGCCAATGTCTGGGACTTCCTCTCCCTAGGCTTCAAACCCATTATTCAGTTATCCTCTTTCTTAACCCACCTACATTGTATCTAATTCTCTAGGGGGCCTGTGACCAGCTTAATTCATAACCGCTGATGTGAGAATAACCGCTTCTCTTTTTCCTCTCCTGAAGAGCAAAAAACACACTTCTCTAGTCTCTTAAGTTGACACTCCAATTAGATTCTAATATATTAGGATGTTATTCATGTGCATGTTTGTTGGCAAGCCCCGTGGTCAAGTCTGTCACTAGTCATCTCTCCTGAAGGTACACACACGAAAAATCCACGCAAATATACGCACTCATGCTGGTGACATATTTCTGGCTTTTAATTTCCTATCCTACATTCCACACTTGGAACTTCACGGGTTAATTTTTGGCCTATTCCAGGCTTTACTCCTCTCACTGCAATCGCCTTTTCTTGACTTCCCTTTGCCCCTCATGAGCCGATCATTGACGATGCCTCTTCCTGTTCTTGAACATTTGTCCTGGGTCAGAGCGTCTTCTTTTAAAATATCTTCGATTAATCTCCAAGTCTGCCCAAGCAGTACGCGAAATTATCGCTGACTCTTTCCTCTTCTCATCTCCTGTTCATCAGGTTAATTTGAAAGAACACGTTCACAGTCTCCCTGATCTTCTTTTTCCTAGTGTTTTCCCTATATGAGATCAGTATTTCCGTTGCACCCAAGTCAACATTAAGTCCTTAAATCACCTTTAGTGATATAGGATGACAAAGTAGTTATCCAAGGATTGTCGATTTATACGAAAATAAAAAGATGCTTCTCTTGAGAACCAAGCTACGTATTTTATGTATATGACAAAGAATAAGGCTAAAAATTTAGGCTTATCCTCAAAGACATACCTCAAGATGCTTGATTACAGATCGTTGAAGGTAGCCAGATCTACTTGTCTTAACAGCTGTATCCACGAGACCATCACGACCTGCCATAGAATGGAAGAAAAGTTCCTGTGGTGGCAAGGCTGTGAGAAACCGATGTGTGCACATTCCACCTGCCCGGGGTCGAATATCGTAAGGTGGGAATGAAGGTAAAGTTCGACCACTCATCATCATGGGTACTCGGCGACCCTCAAGCTCTATTTGACCCAGAGAAACTGACATTTGCTGTGCATTTACCTGGTGGATAGTGCAAAATTTAAGGCTTTGAGGAAGGGAATTAGCCAGAATGATATAATGAGGGTAACTGAAGCTGGTAGCGGGTTTGGCATATTATAAACTTGGACACAAATATATTCAAAAAGGTATATTTTTAAAATCTACAAAGTAAAGTATTAACAAATTTATGAAGATTGAAGGCGGATATGGCAAAATGTAGAATAGAATAAAAAGTCAGATGAATAAATGTTCCGGATTTATAGAAGTAAATTGACATTGCTGTTGCAACTTGGTCTTGTTGTCAAGGCGATTTAGTAGAACGCACCTAGTCCGAAGTCGTCTGCCATAGTTGTCATGATTCCCAGTATCAGACAGTGGACTTGATACATTCTCAAACGTTTCGACGGCATAGTAGTCGGCATCATCAGTTAGTTTTGCCATTCACCGCACCAAGCTACGAACTTGTCAAAAGAAACAAGCGAAGTAAATCCCTCCACAAACGTTCTGCCGAAAACGGTTACACTGTCACTCCTCTTTCTGTCCTGGCCTATCTATCTACTCTCAATCCTTTATTCTCAATGCCGCCCTATCACAACTTCTTACTTGTTTACATTCCACTCGTCAAAATGTGTGCTCTTTTGTGGCAGATATAGTATGGCCTCATCACAATTACTACAGAAAGATGAGTGATAATGTAACCGTTTTCTGGAGAAGTTTGGTCGAGAGATTGACTTCACTTGTCTTTCTGACGAGTTCGTAGCTTGGTGCGGAGGATAAGAAAACACACTGATGATGCCGGCGAAACGTTTGGAAATGTACCAATTCCACTGTCTGATGCTGGCAATCATGACAACTAGTATGGTTGACGAATTCAGACTAGATGAGTTCTACTAAGTCACCCTGACAACGAGACCAAATTGCGACGAGGTTAACCCACTGGTATAAATCGAAAAGAGATTGCGAGCATACCAGAGGCCACATCTTGGTCTTCATATCTTCAAGTTCAGGGTTTAGTTCATCGTAATCAGCTTTACTAATATTACAATTTTTAACACAAAAAATAGATTGAATTTGTTATCCATTTTTATCCACTAATCAATTTTACGGATCCAATGGTGACCATAGCTGAAAAAAAAGACAAGGTTTACTAGAATCACAAAATCTATATTGATGCACTTTACATTTGGTTCGAAAATAAAAGTGGCTAGGATATGCTGATTGGTCACAACGATGTCAATAGATGTTCTTAGTTTGAATTAACAGCTAAAAAACCATAACTATTTTGTTTCTACTTACAGAACCCTTTCATCCTTATTTTCATTAGAGAAGGAGAGTACAACAGCGAATAAGTTAATCATTTCCATTTAGTCTATTTTCTAAGATATTTGATTTATTTATTTACTATAAAGAGACATTCTTATTTTCATAATACGCGCATAGAGTTATTAGTTAACATGAGAAATGTCATCTTTTTTCCGCAGAGGTCTAACACGAATTCTTTATTTTATGCTAGATGAGTGCCTCCCATTGTTATCTGATTTTCCATAATTTCTATAGTTTGTTCAGAAGTAATATCGGTGAAGAAAGCCCAAAGAAGAAATTGGTTTTTATTTGATTTTAGGTTATATATTTCTGACCGAATCGCAAAGAATCAAAAGCAGCCTAAGCGGTCAGATGAATATAAGAAAAAGATAATAATGCAGATAACTGGCCAAATGGTAAATCATATGAAGTTAGGGCAGACAAGTTAAGTAAATGAATCTACTAACTTTGGATAATAAGATTTTTCATAAATAAAAAAAGTCGTAAATAATGCGATATTTCGCAATAGAAGATTATCCTGGTGCAATTTAAAAAACATATGATCAATCAAGTAAAAGATAATAAGAAAATTATTGAAAATAATGAGCATAAGTATTTAATCCAGAGACCATTGTATGCATGATAATTTCCAAAATTGGACCATAAACGTGCTACATTTTCAGATATTTCACCAGTATCGTAATCGGCATTGTTAATGAGTCTTGCCATTCTTAGCACCAAACTACAACTGGTTAGAGACAAGTGAAGACGATCCTTTGACCAAACGTGTGCTAAACAGTTGAGGTATCTCCCCTTCTGCCCTAGGCTATTCACATTTCTTATATCCTCCTAGCATACCTTAACTGTTACAATTTTTGCCGTGCATATTTCGATGTAGTGTGGTGTGCTCCTTTAAGCGACATTCATGAAAACCCTTCACACTCCACGCTTTCGTTCTCACCCCCTTCACCCTTGTGTTGGAAATGTCGATACCGCAAATGTTTAGCACACCGACCACATTTAATCAAGCAAGTAAAATATTGTGACAGTGAAGGCGTAATTGGAGGATATAGGAAATGTGAATAGGCCAGGGCAGAACGGGAGATAACTTAACTGTTTAGCACACGTTTGGTCAAAGGATCGGCTTCATTTGTCTCTTTGACGAATTGTTGTGTGGCGCTAAGAATGGCAATACTCACTGACGATGCCGGCGAAACGTCTGAGAATGTACCACGTCCACGGTCTGCTACTTGCAATTATGATAACTACTATGGCAGATGACTTCGGGCAAGATGCGTTCTATTAAGTCGCCCTGACATTAGGACGAATATGACAAAATGTGATTAACCCACTTCTATAAATCGAAACGAGACTTGGTCTTCATATCTTCCAT